GTGAAGCTGCTTTCTCGTACCCCGTTTGCTGGTTTGTGATAGGAGTCCAAGATGACGGATCCACGCTGCATTAGCTGATAGGGGACACCTGCATGAATCTCTCCTTGCTCTCCGTTCTCTGTCAGTTTTCTCATTCCATTTGGTGCTTGGCTGAGTTCTTTATCTCTTCATTTGATGTTTTAGGGTTTCAGGATTGTTGTTTTCTCTGTTTGACTTAGTCTTTTGGATCTTTGCTGTGGAGGGACGGTGTGGTGCTTCTGCCTAGAACGCCAGTTTGCCGGAAGTCTGGATGGTTAGCATTTTTTAGCCATAAATTATTTTTTAATTATGTTAGGTTGTGTTTTTAGACACAATACTGTTGCACACTTAGGAGAACACCCATTACCATCGAGTTGATTCCAACTCATAGCGACCATATAGGACAGAGTAGAACTGCTCCATAGGGTTTCCAGGGAGCAACTGTTGGAATCGAACTGCTGCTCTTTTGTTTAGCAGCCGAAGGCTTAACCCCACTGCACCACTAGTGCTCCTAATAGACTACAGTGTAGTGTAAACATAACTTTTATATGTACTGGGAAACCAAAAAATTCGTATGACTCGCTTTATTGCAGTGTTTGCTTTATTGTGGGGATCTGGAACCAAACCCACAGTATCTCTGAGGTATACCTATATTTACTGAATATCTTAATACGTTTCCCACGTTTTAACATCAGTCTTATTGAAGTATATAATTAGCTCCAAGAGTAAGAGATATGTGTGTACGTATGTACATCCATTATAGAATTAAATTGACTTAGTATAGAAAGTTAGAGTGTCATATTGGTCGTCACTAAGTATACCCAAATTTATAAGCAATTATTTGTAATCATGAGTATGAAATTTCTGTGGACACAGCAGTAGAGAATGAACAGGTATCAGAAATATTTCACTGGACCCAGAGTCTGCAGGCATTGATTGTTCTTACCAAATAAATGACTTCTGTTTCTCTGTCACCTGTCTCTCTTCAAGGAGAGGCCAATCTCTCATTTAAGAATGCGTGCTAACCAGGCTTACTTTTCCTCCTTTGATAATAATATGATGGGCTATTCTCCCACTTTTTCTGACTACACCCAAAATATTTTCTTAATTTTTAAAGGTAAAAGTAATGGCTTCTATCAGAAAACCTAAACGCATCGTCATCCGTGGGCATGATGAGAGAGAGTACCCTTTCCTCGTGAAGGGAGGGGAGGATCTGCGGCAGGACCAGCGCATCGAGCAGCTCTTTGAAGTCATGAATGTTGTTCTTTCCCGCAGTGCTGCCTGTAGTCAGAGAAACATGCAGTTAAAGACTTACCAGGTCATACCCATGACTACCAGGTAGTGATCCTGAAGTAGATTTATGTCTTTGGGAATTCCAATACTATGCCAAATCCTTGTTTCATTTTCCTGAGATGGGGTTGGAGGTCACTTGACAATTCAGTGTTTTTAGATTTCACAAAGAAATGGAACAAAGCAGAACTAATTAACAACAAACACTATACCTGTGACTTCTGTCTTGATGTGGAGAATGTAAGTGAAGAATTGACTTGAAGAAATCTATTCTGCTTTGAATCTACAGAACTGTTTTTCCAGAAAAGAGAAAGCAGTTTGGATTTGTGTTTATTCATAGCCATTTCATTCTCCGTTTCAGATTAGGATTGATTGAATGGATTGAAAATACTTTTACCTTGAAGGAACTTCTTTGGAATAACATGTCACAAGAGGAGAAAACAGCTTATATGAGGTAATGTGAAGTCTTAACTACTCCTTCTCCTGCTACATCTTGTCTGCTTCTAACCATGCTATCTCCTCCCTGAGTGCAGATGTTTCAGTGTTCTCCATCTCGTATTTCCAGTGACATTTTAAAGTTCCTTCTAATACACTCTAAACTACAGCCTGATTGGTCTGTCCTTTAATCTGCTCTGACTGCGTAAGTAACTAAATGTAGTGGAGGCTGCTAAAAAGTACTTATAGATAAAGATGTAATAGTAGGTTTTCATGAGATGATAAGAGTACCGGAATGCCAGGCAATGGATGTCACAGTTTTGGATTAAAGAAAAACAAAAAGCCCTGAGTTAAAATTGGTGCCTCACCACTAGTTACTTGTGTTTGACATGGAGCAAATTACTTACGTGAGCTTTAGTTTTCTAATCAAAAAATGGTGATCATAGTACCCCTCAAGATTGTTGAGAGCATTCAACATACATAAAGCACCTGACTCAGTGCTTTGTATGTAGCACTTGATAGCCATTATTATTATAATGATAATAATTGTTATTGCCATATAATAATACTTCTAAAGTGAGGAATGACTGAAATATTTAAACGGAAATTTTTAATGAAAACATCTGTATAATAACCATTTATTATAAGACTGTTACTACGTTGGACAAGAACAGAAATCCGATGCCCAAAATGTCGAGAGTAATCAAATCACCACTTCTCCACTTGTCAATCATCTCTGACACCAGCCGCCCAGGCGACACTCTCTTCTCTCTGCCCCTAGTCATTCAGAGCTAAGTCAGAGCTCCCAAGCAGAAAGGACACTGTCCTTCAGACTGTCAGTAGGCAGGCACCAGCCGCAAGCTCCGGAGTCCACACGACATCCTTACTTCTAACCTGCTGACCGCAGATTCAGGGTTTTCCCACTGCCCCTTCAGGATGCCAGCTGCAAGCTCAGGGCCTCCTCTGGGCTCCCTCACTTTCATCTACTGGCTCCCACAACTCTTTTGAGTTTGATAATTAGCTGGAACTATTCACAGAACTTAAAGTACTAATAATTACAGATTTATTATAGCAAAAGGATACAAATCAAGATCCTCATAAGTAACAGACACTTGCGAAGGTTACCAATACAGAGCTTCAATATCCCAAAGAGGGTGCATCATCCTCCCTTCGCCAGTGAGGGAGTTTTTGGAGCTTCAGTGTTCAGAGCCTTTATTGGCTTCACCATGTAGCCCTGATTGAGGCCTCATTGCATATGCATGATAGGTTACATCATGCGTCCTGAGGTTAATTGATTTCTGGGGTCTTCCCAGCCTGGCCCGCCCCTACTCTGCACAGATCTTCAGATGTGGTCTGGAAGTTTTACATAATAAACGCAACTCAAGTTCTCGGGAAATGCCAAGGGTTATCTCTCAGGAACCAAGGACAAAGGCGAAATTTTTTTTAATAAGATGATTCATTACTGCACAGACAGGAAGCACAATGGATGGCACATGTGAAAACTGGAGGCTGTAGGGGATATGTGAGGCTACTTAGTAGGCCAAGCATGAGATGAAAAAGGTTGGACCTATACTGCTGGCAGCAGGGATTGAAACTAAGGGCTCTGTCTTAGGCTGGGTTCTCTAGAGAAGCAAAACCAGTAATACATATAAATATATACATAGAGAGAGGTTTATATCAAGGAAATGGCTCATGTGGTTGTAGAGGCTGGAATGTCTCAAGTCCACGGGTCAGGATAGCATCTTCCCCTGATTAAGGTAGCCGTAGGGGCTGGCAGACCCAGGATTGGCAGGTCAGTGAGCAGGGCTCTTTTTCACAGGCTGTGAAGATCTATGAATCCCAAGATCGGCAGGTGAGACTGCAGATAAGCTGCTAGCTCAAGTCCCAAGAACCAGAGGTCAGACCAACAGGAACCAGCTGCGGGATCCAGCATGAGCAAAAAGCACCCAAGCCTTGCCAGACTACCGACTTATACTCAGTGCAGGCCACACACCCAAGGAAACTCCGTTTCAACTGATTGACTATTCACAGCAGATCCCATCATGGAGGTGATCACATAATATCAAATCTCATCATGGAAGTTATCACATCATATGACAACCAAACCACTGAGAATCATGGCCCAGCCAACTTGACACATAATGTTAACCATCGCAGGCACATTAGTATTTTGGCTTCCATAGAAATAAACTCAAAATATGATGGATAAAGTAGTCTTGAAACCTATAACAAAAATATTCCAATTATATTTAAAAGAAAACATAATAACTTTTTAAAAAAATTTTATTCATTTTATTGTTGTTCTTGAGAATATACACAGGAAAACATACACCAGTTCAACAGTTTCTACATGTACAATTCAGTGACACTGATTACATTCTTCGAGTTGTGCAACCATTCTCACCCTCCTTTTCTGAGTTGTTCCTCCCACATTAACGTAAACTTACTGTCCCTTAAGGTTCCTATCTCATCTTTCAAGTTGCTGCTGTCAATTTGATCCCATATGGCTAGGTCTTGAAAGAGCACGATGCTCAAGGCAGACATTCTTTACTAGTTAAGCTAAACTATTGTTTAGTTTTAAGGAGCCTTCAGGGATATTTTTGGTTTAAGATACAAGGATCGTATCGGGGCAAAAGTTTCAGGTTAATAATTCTTTTTACTTTTAAGTAAGAAAAGATAATTAAAACAGTGTTTGCACTAGTACATGAATAAATAGACCAATGTAACAGAATAAATCCAGAAATAGGACCACTTATATACAATAATTTAGTATATGTTAACTGTGTTATTACGTATCAGTGGTGGAAAAGTGAATTATTCAATAAATGCTTTGGGGCCAACTGGGTAGCCATAAGGAAACCCTGATGGTATAGTGGTTAAGAGCTAAGACTGCTAACCAAAAGGTCGGCAGTTCAAATCCACTGGGCATTCCTTGGAAACCCTATAGGGCAATTCTACTGTGTCCTATAGGGTCACTATGAGTCGAAATCAACTTGACAGCAGTGGTTTTTGTTTGTTTGTTTGTTTGAGTAGCCATATGGGAAAAAAAAAGTAGGAATCCTTCCTCACTTCTTACATCAAAATAAATTCTAGATAGTTCAAAGATTTAAAAATTAAAATAGAAAGTGTAACAATACTAAAAGGATGTCTACGGTGTAGTATATTGTTGTTAGTTACTGTTGAATCGATTCTGACTCATGGCAGGCCCATGTGTTACAGAGTAGAACTGCTCCATAGGGTTTTCTTGTCTGTAATCTTAATGGAAGCAGATCTCCAGGCCTGTCTTCCGTGGTACTCCTGGTTAGGTGCAAACTGCCAACCTTTAGATTAGCATTTGAGTGCCAACCGTTTACACCACCTAAGGATCTAACAATGCAGCATAGTACTTCATAACTGTTTTAACATCATGCCACACATAGGTAATCTTAATATTAGTATTACATTACCGTAAATAGCATATATGCCATAGTACACAAAAGGGGAAGTTCTGACATAGTAGACTGATCAAGCACAAATAGCACCATCCTGCTGGCTATTTTCACACATGAAAAGGCTGGATAAAATATAACGTGTTTGTTTAAACAAACAGCCCATGTGTGAGAAACAAAGATTATAGCCAGACTTGTGAGGAGAAGTTGACAGTGCCATGGCAGACTGGAGCTTTCAGACAGGAATTGGGCATAGGATCTATGGAGGACAGAAAATGTGGCTATATGGCCTGATGAGGAACTATAGTTGAGTACAGATGCTTTTGTGAGCACTAGATAAACTCCAACCACCAGTCCAGAGAAGTGGTAGAGAAACCAGCTGCCTATGTATTAAGACTTTAGAGGGCTCTTGTCAGCAGCAAATAATCAAATCACTATTACTCAGTCCTGCTTTACTTAAGGATATTGGATCTTACTTTATATTGCCAGAAACTAGCCCGCTAACTATCTTTCATTAGTATGACTTTGGCAACGTAGGGCACAAAAGATTCCCACAGAAAAAAACACCCTCAGCTCACAATAAAAACATTTAAAAATTCATTAAAAAAACAAAGAACCATTACTATCAGCAGATAGAACAGATAAGAGAATCATCACCCCAAGTAATTGGGATTATAGAAACTATAAGTGTGTCTAAGTCAACTTAATGACAACTAACAACAACAGCAACCCCCCATGTGTGTCAGTTTGTCATTCTGTGGGGGCTTGCGTGTTGCTGTGATGCTGGAAGCTATGCCACTGGTATTCAGATACCAGCAGGTTCATCCATGGTAGACAGGTTTCAGCTGAGCTTTCAGACTAAGACAGACTAGGAAGAAGGACCCAGCAGTCTACTTCTGAAAAGAATTAGCCACTGAAAACCTTATGAATAGCAGCTGAACATTGTCAGATATAGTGCCGGAAGGTGAGCCCTCCAGGTTGGAAAGCTCTCAAAATAAGACTGGGGAAGAGCTGCCTCCTCAAAGTAGAGTCAACCTTAATGATGTAGATGGAGTAAAGCTTTTGAGACCTTCATTTGCTGATGTGGCACGACTCAAAATGAGAAGAAACAGCTGCAAACATCCATTAATAATTGGAATGTGGAATGTACGAAGTGTGAATCTAGGAAAATTGGAAATCGTCAGAAATGAAATGGAACACATAAACATCGGTATCCTAGGCATTAGTGAGCTGGAATGGAGTGGTATTGGCCATTTTGAATTGGTCAGTCATATGGTCTACTATGCTGGGAATGACAACTTGAAGAGGAATGGCGTTACATTCCTAGTCAAAAAGAACATTTCAAGATCTAAGTACAGTGCTATCAGTGATAGGATAATATCTGTATGCCTACAAGGAAGCCCAGTTAGTACGACTGTTATTGAAATTTACGCACCAACCACTAAGGCCAAAGATAAATTGAAGATTTTTCCCAGCTTCTGCAGTCTGTAATTAATCAAACATGCAGTCAGGATGCATTGATAATTACTGGTGATTGGAATGCCAAAATTGGAAACAAAGAAGAATCAGTAGTTGGAAAATATGGCCTTGG